GAAAAGTTGGATACTTTTTAATATACTTTCAGAATGCTTAAAGAAAAAGAGAAGAAAAATAAATTTTTTCGTAAAATTTAAATTTAAAAATTTAGTATTGTATTTTTTTAATTTAAAATTTTCAATGTTATGATATTTTATTCTTGCGATTTCAAAAATAAAATATTTGACTAAAATATGAATAACATTTTAAGAAACAACAAATGTAGGATAAAATTATGTAAAACAAGGGCACAATGATAAAAAACTGTTTAAAAAATAAAGCAGTGTATGCAAGTCATCCTAAGTTAAAATGTCGGTTATACATCTCTCTTATTTATATATATCTTTCTGAACGGAACATTGAAAGACGTGTAAAACTGTGCTTTACTGTATTTCTCTTTTAATATAGTATGCAGTTTTCAAAACTCATCGTAGTCTGGGTTACAAAGTATTCTTCCGAAAGAAACGCAGTTCAAATAAATAAAATCAAATTCTGGAAAATTGATATTAATAAATATATTTTAAAATGCTCAGTTCGAAGGAATAAATAGAAAATTTTAAAACAATTATCTGAGGAGACAATGCAATACAAACAATTGAAATAAAAGAATAATTAAAATTAAAGTAAAATTTAAAAATTACCTAAAATAATAACTACGACGAAAATATATATATAAAGAAAAGTATTTGAAAAAAAAAAAAAAAAAAAAAAAAATGAACGCTGCACCTTTATTTACGCAGTTCGAATAGGTAAATAGAAATTTTTAAAAAGTTATCGAAAAAAAAAAAAAAAAAAAAAAAACAAAAAAAAAAAAAAAAAAAAAAAAAAAAAAAAAAAGTTAATAAAAAAAAAAAAAAAAAAAAAAACAAAAAAAAAAAAAAAAAAAAAAAAAAAAAAAAAAAAAAAAAAAAAGAAAAAAAAAAAAAAAAAAAAAGTGGAACTTAAACAATTAAAATGAAATTCGAAAAAGAAAAAAAGAAAAAAATTACTTAAAATAATAAGTTATAATTAAAAATAAAATATAAAAAGAATATTATTTGGAAAAAAGGAACGATGGTGACTTTTTTTCCTCTCACGAGAAAGGAAACTAGTTTGCCATATATTAAAAAGTTCGCCAAGTGAAGTATTCTTGGCGCAAACTGACAAAAAAGTGCCAACATAAATTTGTGAATTTCTCCGTAAATTTCGCTCCAAATTTTACTAAATTTCATACTTAGGCGTAATTTGAGTCGTAGAATCGAAATATGTAAAAAAATTGGTATGTTATTTCAGAAAAAGTCCGATTTTGTGTCAAAATATCTATGTTAGAATAGTGCTATATATAAATCTAATATATATCCTAAGTCGCGCTTTCGAGACATGAAGAACGCAATTTGAATTTTGTCAATCGGCCCAGTAGATCGGGAGATATAGGACTGTCCCATTTTTTTTTTTTTTTTTTTTTTTTTTTTTTTTTTTGAGCAGTGTACATTGTGGAGATGTTGACAAGTTAGAAGATAAAGGACTCGGAAACTAGCGAGAGCATTGGTTTGCATATTGAGACAAATCTGTAATTGTTAGAAAAGATGCTTAAAGAGAAAGAAATCGATATAAACTAGTCAAAATGTTTGCGAAGGTTTGTAGAGACATTAGGTATTTTTGAAAGCAGGAAAGATAAAAAATTAAAAATGCCTTCGCCGAGAATCGAACAGCGGACCTCTGGAATACCGGCCCAGTGTGCAAACCACTACACTACGAAGGCTCGCCAAGAAGGTGGGAGAAAAACCTTATAGGCTTCAAATTAAAATGACGGATAAATATTTTGTTGAGTGTTGTTGTTACAAAACATAAATGTTTTGTAGCTTTTAATGTGTAATTATCCTAATATCGTTTAAGAATCAATGTCATAAATTACGTGTATTTTAAGCTGCGAAATTTTATTAGATTTTGAATTTTAATAATGCTTTTTTTAACAAATATTCTTAAAAAATAAAATTTAATAGTGGCCATGTAAATCCATAATGACTAAGGTTATTTAATTACCTAATTTAATTATTTATAACTTAACTACTTAACCTTAAAAATTATCTCTACATATTAAAGCGAGTTATTGCCTTTCATTAATACTCACTGTGGTCACAAGATAAAACACAAAAATGTAAAAATTCATGTAAAACTTATTCTTCGCATCTATTGAGACTTAGAATAATACTATATACAAAACAACTTATCATCTCTGTTGCTTTAATGGCTTATTGGAACCTTAAAGTATATTAACTGGGCTACAACCCCTGGAGTTCTACACAAAGCTATGACATTGACTGCATTAAGCAGAGCCTGAATAACTTTCAACACTTGCCAACCGTGCCTACATCAGGCCTTTCAAGTTTGTTCTAATCAGCAGGTCTCTCTCTAGACAAGCAGCAGCAGTGACAAACATTCAGTCTTGTTATGAATCATACTGATTATGATCTTACTTCTCGTTTTAATCTATGCCGTTTGACATAAAATCTACCTGCTAATTATTAAACCTCTAGACTTACCAAGTGTGTGACAAAATGAAACATAAAAAAATCAACATAAAGCTAATTGTTAGTAAAACATAAATGTCACTTATCTTCTTTCAAATATGACCAAATATTATACGTGTAAAATATTTAATGCTACTTGATAAGTTGCATAAAGATTATTTTATTCCCGAACTTATTATGTTGGTTAATTCATGTTTGGTAATAGTGCATACTACTTAGGGATCTATTTTATTTTTAGGATGGTATTACAAAAGTGAAATTTAGGCATAGAATAATATTTTTAATTGAATTTATTCAGTTCCCATTTGCTCATAGGTCCTTAATTTTTTTACTAATGGTCCTTAAAAGCCCTTAAAAGTACTTAATTTCCGTGTGCAGAAATGCGTACGAACCCTGAGGAAGGAAAACCATTCTGAGAGAAATTCGTACGCATGGGCATTTTCAATGTTTGACGAAAACAGATTTGATCCTTTTTTGATGTAAAAGAGTTAATTCAGTCTAATTTTTCAGTTATATCACGTGATTGTAAATTAAGTGCTGGTTTAATTGCTGGTTTTTATATTAACTGTTTTTGTCTTTGGTTTGTGGTTAATTAACGGTTAAATTTTAAACAAATTTGTGCATTGCACACTTTGAAATCTTGTGTTCGTTGCATCTTTATTAACTATACAGATAGAAAACCAAACCTACACTTGTATGCAACATTAAGAAAATTTGCAAATTATATCTATTTTTGCAAAAAGTATTGAACCGAAGGTACTAATTATGCTTTGCATAATTCTGAAAATATTCAGAGTCGAATACGTAAGTGCACATATGTGTGTCTGTGGAGCTGTTATTATGGAGGGGATATAAGCACATGGGGGGGCAGTGATTTGAATGCTCTTACTCCTTCACGACATGATGGAATGATATCGCAAATTTTCTGTAAATTGGTACCAAGGCAACCATAAATCCTGGTGGCCGCAGAACCCCAGTATAGTTTGCAATTCAGAATCTGTTTCAAGACACTGGATCCATATCAAGTTGTAGATGAGATTGGATCAATATCCACAATAATGCATGAGGCTTATTATTTGGCACTTTAGTCCAGTGTCTTGTAAGGTGTCGGTTACTTAGTAGCTTCCTGATGTATGGATGATGGAATGAGATAGCGAACTGTCTGCAGATTGGTACCAGGGCAATCATAAACACAGATGGCTACAGAACTCTATGAAAATGTTCAGTATAGTTTGCAATTTGGAATCTGTTTCAAGACACTGGATCCGTAACAAGAAGATTTGAATGAGATCGACCAATATCCACAATTATGCATGAGGCAATTTTAGTGGAGTGACATAGAACAGTCACACATTCACAACTATCATGTGAGCTGTATACCGCTATTGGAATCAAAGTTTCACAATGTACAGTTGCTCGAAGGCTGTATGAGGTAGGGTTGTATGCCAGAAGAATTCCCGTTTGTGTCTCATTAATTGCAATTGAGTGCTTTTAGCATGGTTCAAACAACATGTGCCTTGGACCAAACTTCAGTAGAGCATGTACTTTACAGATGCATCAAGATTAATTCTTGACACTGATTCTTGGCATACTTGTATATGTAGAAAGCCTGGAGCACAATACCTTACCTGTGTCATCTGGAAAAAGAATCGTTATGGTGGTGGAGGCGTAACGGTTTAGGCAGGAATTATGTTGGATGGCTATACATCAGTGAATTATTTTGACGAAGTCTGTCTGACTGCTGTGAGGTATATAGAGATTTTAGAGCCTTCTGTTTAATTTTTCATGGGTGTAGTTGGTCGGGTTGGTGTTAATGGACGGCAATACTCATCTACATAGGGCTGAGCTGCTTGATGATTACCTGGAAAGTAAGGATATTCACTGCATGAATTGATCTGCAGCCAGATCACTTGACCTTAACCATATAAAACGTGTCTGTTTTTAGGAGGGCAATTTTATCTCGCCAAAACCTTCAGAGAACCATCCCGGAGTTGAAAACTGCTTTGCTGCAGGAGTAGTATTAATTGCCAGAGAGATTCCTCAGCTGCCTCCTGTCCAATATGCGGTCACATTGTGCAGCCTGTTTAGTTGTGAGAGGGGACCATAGCCCATATTAGACTTATTTTCAAGTCATTATCACATCATGGATTTTTTACATCCCTGCACCATAAAGTCTACTAATATTCATGCATACAAATAAAATGATTTTTGAATAGTACATCTTTCTCTATTATAGGTGTATAGTCATACCAAATTTTATTAAAATCTGTCAGTTTAAAAAAATTAACAATATATGCAAATTCTCTAATTTTGCATATAATTTTACTTTTCTGTATGAGTATATTGAAGATGTGTACCTGATATGTTTACTTGTATTGTTGTTAATGCAGAGTAAAATTTGCATGGCTAGTGAATTGTTTCTTTATTAGTAAATATTTATTTCTGTAAATAATTTCTTTAAGACTTAATTATTAGAAATGGTAATCAAAAAGCATCAAACACTGTTGGTTAGTTATGATATTCAACTAGATGAAGTTTATTTTCATTTGAAAACACATATTCGTAGTCCATTATGTAGTCTTATATGACAATATATACATCTGATCACAAATAACTTATTTACACTACAAAGCCAACATCTTTTCAAGTTATGCATATCCTTTGTCCATCATATTGTTCAAATATTTGGAATTTTTCATCTGAAAAAAGAAAATACATAAAGTTAGTGCTTTCTTTTACTAATAAACTCTTAAATAAGTAATGTGAGACACACCAGGTTGTAAAAATATTTCATTTTTCATAAAATGCTCAATATATTCATTTCTGTTTCAAGTCTTAAGTGAAATACTCTTTAACTCTGTTAGTGTTCAAACTATTAAATATTCATTTTAAAATATTTTCAAGGTTACCTTTTAAATTCTTTAGAAAAATACATTTTTTCTGAGAGAATTTGGAATTAATGTAACAATGAAATTTCATAGATTGCATTAAAATATGTTATGTATTGCCTGCCTTATTTTAATCCAATTAAAATTATATATGCAGAAAAATGAGAAGTATTTTTGATGAGCATAAAGCGGTTGTAGTTAACAGTAATATAAGTAAATAAAAGCAAAATGTTAATATTCAAATTTGAAAGTATTTAATGTAATTACTTAATGTCGTGATCAGATTAGGCAGATGAATAATAAAAAGAACGGTAAAAAATGAAAGGTAAAAATTCCAAGAAAAGCAAAAATATTATGTTTCCTACAATTAAATGTCTGAAGTTAAGTAAATAATCTCTGTTGATTAAATTAACTCATCATAGCCAAGTTACATAAGAAGTGTTTTTTTTTTGTTTAAATATTTTTCCTGTAAATTTATTTCCTTAATTGCGTAATTTTCTAGAACGTTCCAGTTCGTTCATCAAGTATGTGTAAATTGTTACTTATTCGGTTCGAATAATAAAGTCTTGCATTCAGACTTGAGTAATTTCCTCTTTATTTGTATGGTCATTTCATCTACGCGACAGTTTAGTGGAGGCGTCGGGTAACTGCGGAAGAGTTATGCCAAAGCCGTATTCGAGGACTTCTGATTTTGGTCTGAACAGGATTCAAGTAGAAGGCTGAGAAAGATGGTTGATGGGACCCAGAACCCCGTGTATATTCACCGGGCACAACGAAAGGATACCAACATGTGGCTAAGGATTTTGATTGAATCGCCACTTATAACCACTGGGAGGATCATTTGTGTCTGGCGAACGTCATCTTACCTCTCCGGAGCCGCTTGACATTGGTTCGATAATAATGAAGGCACATTTACGAGTTGGGTTTTTTCCAGAAACGTTCTCCAAAACATTTTGCCGTGCATCAGATGTAATGCTTGCGGCAGATGGACAGCGGGCTATTTCAGAAACGCTCTCAAAAACATTCTTCCTTGCAGCAGATGTACGTGCGCAGCAAATTGATGAGACGTCTAAAGTTTGCATACAAGATCCAAAGTACAAGAACAAAGTTCACCATGCTTGAAGACGAAAGTGGCCCACCTTATGAAGAGCATTGCCGAGGACTTGTACCATGTCCTGTCCTCTCAGGACAGCGTCAATGCCTTCTTGAGATGCAACCATGTCATAGAGAGCGTTCTACGAAGACGTACCACCCGGCTACGATTTCAGAGGCTACTTAATTCGAGGAACCTGAGCCAACGAATGCCACAGCATCTGCGGTTCGGAAGAAGGGTATGAAGGCTCTAGTACCTGTCACAGGAATAGTGGTAAAACACTACCCAATGTTTTGTTTCAGTTAGGCCATAGCCAAGATGTAAAGCTAAGAAGAGAGTTACTCTACAACGTGGGACAGACCTGTGGAGGACTGACGATAATATGGCCCTCTGTTATTTTTGTGGACGTCCAAGACACCCACTAGGGACATCCAACTCTTGACGGAATAGGGACACTGGCTCTGTATACACCCTTAACGACGAGTGTGCGCAGGCTACTTCTTCCAAAGTACGGAACAGTTAACTTACCTGCGACGCTCTCTGCACCGCGCACAGCCACCAGTACGCCGCTCCAACCTTCTCCACGTTGACCCAGTGCGGGAAACTAGCTCAAGTGACTTGTGGAAGAGATTCAGCCGCAATTGAACAAAATCCTTCGGCGTATAACATTGTCAAGATAAAGATGAATGCCACCTGTATCACCGTGAATGCCTCCCCCCCAGTGTGTTAAAGCCCTTGTTGATTCGGTTGCTTATTATTCCGTCATAGCCGATAAATTACGCCAACAGCTGAATGTTCCTATGTTTATTGAGAATTGACGTATACTGAAAACAACCTCTGGTAAACCTGTGGCCGACTCGGGACGATGTGTATAAAAAGCTTATTTGAATGGGACTAAGAAGACGTTTTAATTCCTTGTGTTTCCGCAATGTAGCCGTCAAACGATACTTGGATCGAACGTTTTCTGAATTGCTTATGGATATAAGAACTTCAGCTCGCAGAAATCTTTAAGTAAATCAGAGTGCTGCTTATTTGCTATGATTACTAGATTTCTGATGAGTGAAAGAGAAGCATCGGTACCATCTTCAAATGCCACCATAGAGAGTAGTTGTGGTAAATAAGGGGGAACAAATTGTTCTCGAAAGGCCAAGAGGAGAGGACAAACTTACCGGCTAAAAGTTCTTTCTTCTTATTCGTTCATACACAGATGACTAGCGGTTAGATCATCATCAAGACTTCTTAGAACATCGCTACGAAGTTTTCTTCGTAGTATATTAAGAGGCATTGCTGTCCGGTACGATCACAGCTTTTTTTTTTTTTTTTTGGCACAACATTTCTTATTGGATAATTTTTGTATTCGTAACCTCTCTTGTGTTGTAATGAGGGACTTCAAATGATGTTTATCCTATCCTTCTGCTACTTTTTTCCGTAATCTTCGAGCAAAGGTTGATTTTGTGCTTCTATAACCTGCCCAACGTGCGAGCTAACATAGAGTGGTGATCTGTGATTACTCTGAAGGATTTTCCATATGGCTGCAAAGTTCCCCTTTACGGTTGTAGAATACATTCATTTTCGCTGCATAGCATATTCTTTCTCTTTATGTTGGCTGGCCAACCTTTCCTAGCAGATTCCGGGAAAAGCAGCAGAAGGATAAACAATTGAAGTCCATCATTACAACTCTCAAGAGTGGTAAAGCATACCAAAATTATTAAATAAGAAATATGCTGTACAAAAATCGTATGGGACAGCAATGTCGCTTGATAGTACGAAGAAATTTTCTTAGCGATGTTCTAAGAATTCTTCATGATGCTCCAATCGCTAGTCATCTGGGATTTGCCTAAATGTACGAATGAATAAGAAGGAAGTATTTTTGGCCAATGAGAACACACAACGGTATGTATCACTCTGTCGAGAATGCCAAAGACTGAAATCACCGCCCCAGAATCCACCACGACCGCTTCATCCGATAAAACTGACATAACATTTGCCAAAATTGGTGGAGATTTAGTTGGACGTCTCCCTGTTACTCGAAGTGGAAACCAGTAGATAATTACTTGCACAGATTACTTTATCATATTTACTGTTGCAACGGCAGTGCCAACTGCTGAGGGCACCGAGATTGCCAAATTTATAGTTGAAGTTGTATTGTAGCACGGTGCCCCAAAGAAATAAGTGTCCGAGGACGCAACTTCTTATCTATTGTGTTAAAGAAATAAATCAGTTATGCCAGAGGTCTCATCTTCTGACGACTGCCTACCATCCCCAGACAAACAGTTTAACTAAAAGATTGAACAAGACACTGGCAGACATCTTGTCCATGTATGTAGACGTTAAACAGAAAACTTGGATATCATCCTATCATTTGTGACTTTTATCTATAATTCAGGAGAGCAAGACAACGGGATTCAGTCTATTCTTTCGCATTTATGGTAGAGCCAAACTCCTCTCGACGTAAAGATTGGATTACCGAAAAGTTCCTAACACGTTACTTTCGACCGTATCAAATAATGCGACAACTGTCTGACGTGACGTAGAAAGTATGGAACAAAATAGAAGACTACTGAATTTAAAAGACATCGTTCACGTATTAAAATTGAAACCCTAAAATTGAAATTGTCTTTGTCTGGACAATTAGATGACGGAAAAGCTCAGTACACAGGAAACCTATAACATGAAGCTAGATTAGATCGCATTGGGACACTGCTTCTTCCTGAGAAGAGGAAAGTGTAGCGAAAATTGTTCCTTTCGACCGACAGTATCGTGGCTCAGTGGGTAAGACATCGTTGTTCGGAAACCGACGATCCCATAAAAGCAAGTTACATAAAAATCAGTTTTTACTTAAAATTCTTTCATGTTAATTTTTTTTTTCTTTATGTTCCATTTATTTGAGAATTTTCTCCATTGTCGAGAAGTTCCAAGTCTAGAATGTTCCAACTCGTTCATCAAGTGTATATTGTTGGTTACTCACTCAATTCGAATAATAAAGTCTTGCATTTAGACTTGAGCACATTCCTCTTCATTTGTATGATCACTTCCATCTACGCGACAATATATACACAAAAATATTTATGCATTATATATTTGTTGCCTATATAAGTAAATATATAAGTATTTTTCACCAGTAATAAAATTATAAGGTAATTTTAACAGTTTTTGAATGCAGGAAAGCATAATTCGTTACTTTTTATAAGTAGCATCCCCTTCTTTGGAACACAAAATATAACTTAAATACTTAACAACAGAGGTATTTTAACACTTAATGCTAAGCATCCCAAATAAAATTATGCTACTCTAAAGAGTAGCTAAACTTTTCTTGAAATTTACAAACTAATATTATTTGACAATACTCTCGACTTTAATAATTTTTACACATGCTGTGGGATGTTATTCTCACAATAACTGCGCACAAAAAGCATGTGGAATTTATAACTAATAATTACAGTTTCACATAAATGTAGACGACACTGGTTTCTGAACACTTGTAAAATTTATAAAACAAAAATATTTGCCTTACTTTTCTCACAAAATTCATGCAAGTCCCTGTCACATTCTGCTTCTGACATTTCATGGCTGTCGAGATAAGATGCTGGCACTTCTCTGTTGAAAATGTATGTTGTTTCATTTTCACTCTCATCACCTGAATGACTTAAAAAACAATTTATTTTAGAAATCTTTGTTCTTGCTTTGCAAATAAAGCAAAGAAAATTTTCACATTTAAAATTACTTAGTGCGAACATTATCAAAGAGCTACCTTGTAATAGCGTCGGGAATTTCACGATAAGCTAAGAAGACGACAAGGAAAGCTAACCTCATTCATGATGATACATAGGCCATCATCATCAAGACGGGAAAAGAAGGAAAACTGCTGTTGCTTTCTAATGATGATGGCCTGTGTATAACCGTAGTTATAAAGCGCTTTGCAATTTTTTGACTCATTACGAAGTTCCATTAATTTATAAGGTTGAATGCTCATTACTACCACTTCATTAGCATTCTATATTAATTAGGATTCTTAACATGTTTCAAATTTTTAGGCACTGACAGATTATTTTTGACACATTTCTTGGCACTACCGAACTTGGTTTTCAATTTTGAATTCTTATGCTGTATTGAAATTCCACCGTCATAGACACTCACTATAGCATAGCATATAGCAACAGTTTGCGCTCACTAGTGGCCTTGAAGACGGCTGAATGCTGGTAGTTCGACCTGGTTTGGTTTCGAATTCGCGCGAATGGTGGTTTTTCTCATGTGTAACGTGAATATGAACCAGTTTTCCTCAGAAAGTCCTGCACGAAGACATCCCTCTTCCTTATCCATCCACGTCCTCTCTCCATTTTCTTAGACAAATAAGCCTCATGGCTTTGCCATATTCAAATATTGTAATAAAGAGTTTGCATAATAGCTTTTCAAGTAATACATTGTTTTCTATTTCGAATATTGGATTATACAGTATTTCTTTAGAGACATATTTATCTTAAATTAAGCTAGTTTTTTGAGGTAATAATAAAAATTTCTCCACTAAATTATCCTTTTTAGGTTATATTTAATTCTATAATTTTATTTAATTAATGTATAATTAGTTATATTTAATTTTGATCTTTTAGAAAGGCACACATATAGGGAAAAAAAATTAAGCTTATACTTTGAATTAGCCAATCCTTTCAACACTAAAAGATTTAGAATCGTTTCCTAATGAGAAAATTCTTACAATAATTTCACAATATTTCTTAGAAATTTATACTTTATAAAAACGCAGAGATCTATATTATGAAAGCTTGACATAGAGTTCTAAATTTATCTTAGAAAGTCCGTCTTCCATTAAAAGTATTTACTGCTGTAATTTTTATGCAGCACTCTATGAGTCTAGTTAAAATACAGAATCATGGCAGTGCCCTCGATGTTCGGTTCCTGGCAGATAAATGTTTTTTATGCTTAAGATTTCTCACGTTTTCCCATATATAATGTAAAGTAACAACTAGTTTCCTTTTAAAGTTTTCCATGAACATAAGTTTAATTTTTGGAAAAGTTCTTAAGTGTTTTGCCATAAGTAATTAATGGATTAATCGATCATTTCATCTTTATAGGCTTCGCGCGATTTTGACATATCGAGTATATCAGAGTTAAAATAAAATGTCAACTAACGATTATTAGAGGAATTAAAGCTACAAGACTCATTTGCAGCTGAAGAAGCAGGTCTATATTTAAATCTTCGAAACTAATCCTGCAAAATTTGTGAAGATTATGCTGATTCTTTTTGCTTTAAGTCCTCCAAAATCCAATATATATTTCCTTTCCGGCATTATTATTAGTGGCATTTCTGCTTTGGTCGCAATGTTGCTTTTACAAAGCGTGTCGCGGTATTCAGCTGAGATGCAGAAGTTAATCAAGTTTAAAATCCGATTCAAAATTCTGAATACTTTCCATGAATTTGGGCACGTAACCATGTTTCCATGAACTTGGGAACATAATCAGTGTATTGTAAGGAAAAGTGATGAGTTATGGTTATAAACATATATATTAATAAAGAATAATTAATTACAGCGAAGCTCATGAAGTTTTTCTGACATTGGAAGGATGCCTTCATTTCGTACATCCCCCAATGTTAGGGGACAGATGTCTCCATGCGGGAAATGTCCACCTGTAACTTTGTAAATAAACTTTTTTTTTTATAAGTATAAATGCTTGATGTTGGGACATTTAAGCGAAGTTAGCTGGTGTTTAGTTACACACGAGGAAACTCAGGAAAACAAAAACACTCATGAAAACAATTTCATTCAATGGCTAAAAAACCTGGCAACTTATATAAACCTATAAAATGGCAAGGTATGGAAAAATATTTTTTTCCTAAGATCTAGAAATAAAACTTATGAATTTGGCAACCTAGATTTTGTTTTCTCTAGGATTAATAAAATTACATTAAGTCCTCTAATTGCGTTTTTTGAAAAAATGCAATATTTTTTTTTTTTTTTTTTCCTTAGATGTCGTCCACAAATTGACGCTTTTTCCCAAAGTAGATGCATTCGGAAAATTTACATGTTATCCATTCAGAGATTAGACAATCTATGAGAAACAAAAAAAAAAAAAAAAAAAAAAAAAAAAAATCTGATGTGAACATCGCATGACCTATTAAATTGTACACATTTTTGCTGCACTTCATTTAAACTTACTTCCTCGAATTTCATTAAAAATATCTTTCTTATTCAATCAATTCAGTTCTCACTTCGCGGAAAGACAAAAGTGCTTAAAAACTCAAAGCATCATTAAAAAACTGTAAAATACAAAAAAAAAAAAAAAAAAAAAAAAAAAAAACCACCTTAAAACACCAAATACAGTTAAAAAGCAATTTTTGCGTTTAAAAATTAGATTCTAAATTTAGTTTTAGACAAATTTTTGATGCACTAACATTTAGTTGACTTTGGGTCCCCTGAGTACAGAGATTCAGAAATTGGTGCACGAACTGACTTAATTCATTACACTGCTAAGACTTTCATATGTTAAAAAATTCCATAGCGTTAGGATTAACTCCATATACACTTTTGAATTCTTAACAGTTTTACAACTATTGCATGCAGTTTAACCAAGACATGAAAACGTTAACCGTATTATATGAACAACATAATCACTTTTAAAGCAAAAAATATGCCCAATTTACCAACACATAAAAATAAATAAAAACAGCTGGGTAAGAAGATTGCAATATATATATATACGTTTGGTATGGTTGATTGCAATAAAAAAAAGGAGGTGCACAATTAGATGTTATTAGCAGTCCCATATACAAAATTTCAGCTTTCTGTGGCTAATTGTTTTCGAGATACCTGCATATGCAAATACGTACAGATGTTATGACAAAATTCCATCTGAATCCATTATAAAATCCGTTTTGGCAAAAAATATCCTTTATTTAGTGCGTACGCAGATTTTGTAAGTGCACATCTGTATTGCCACCGACGGCTTCTAGAATGAACAAATGGGGTTTCAGTAATACTTCTGACATTTCACATGAACTTTGCCGCGCTTTAAGCAAGATGGTTAAAAATGTTTTACCACGCAATTTCCCGTATAAAATAATCAAAGCGGCCTGGATTTCTTGTGAAATTTTTAGTGCAAAGTTAGATCAACTATAAGCCTAATTATATATGTAAATAGTTTAAGTCTTAGCATTTTTCATTGCAGTCTATATGAAAAGGATGTCCTATAATAATAGGCTATGCAGTTTTATTCAAAGTGAACTTTCCTAATATGCATTCCTACACATTTAGCGTGTAAAATTCCACATTAATAACTGTTCACTTTCAAATGTATTGTCTGCACAAAAAATATCTTTCAAACGAAAGGAATTTATCTCATTCACAACGAATATATTTAATTTATTAATATATAACATTTGTATTCAGCAAACATCCTGTTCCAGGCGTATGCATCCCAGGTACTGTGTTATAGAGATTTACAACAGTGGGGCTTTCTGACAGTTATGCTAACGGCCCGTGTCCACCTCACTGTTGACGAAAAGAAAAACATTTTTATCAATAATGGCCATTACATGCAACATTTGTGACCCTAGCTGAATTATGAACTGCGCTGAGCAATTACCGCTCAAACGGCATAGTAGTTACTGACGCTGAGTGCCGGTTTTGAATCCTGGAGAAGGCATAGGCATTAAAAAGAATATTTGTGCGGCAGGATTACCTTCAAAATATATGGCGAGCCGTAATCCTCTAGCCAAGTTTATGATAAGGAAAGAGGTATAGGAGACTCTTGTATTGCTCTCTGCGGGGTTCTCAGTAGGAATACCAATTAGAGCAGAAGTTTAGCAGTCAGCAAGGCTAGACTGTACCTAATATCCCTACATAAATGCACGACTTTGTTGCAACCTGTATGTGAATCGTTGCTAGATAACTACACGAAATTCTGACATAAGAGAAGCACCACTTATCCGTGAAAAATATCACTATTTTCGCAACAGATATTTCATTATGAAAACAATTTCGTGTCTCTCTATGCATTTCTACGAAATCACATCTACTGAGTGTACCGTAAATGTTGCGACAAACTTCTAGGGGAAGTAGGGCACATTATAAGGATAAAGAATTTCATAGGAAACCATGTCCTGAAACGTCACTGTACGCAACCAGGTGGTGCTCTACAGGAGAGTGCTAGTGGAAAGTGAGGATTACCTCATTCGAGCGATAGGCACCATACGAAGAGCATGGACGCTACCCGAACATGCATGTAGCTTGAAGACATGCACTTAGTGTATGGAATGCTGAGCGTAATAGACGACACGCATTTATTAAGAACGCTTATCCGACAAACATCAACCATACCACAGTTTGTTTGCATGTCTGCATCAAAATTTGTGCGACTAACGGGTGATCAAGAAGTGGACTCGTTTTAGACTGGATGTTCATAGTCCTTGAACAGATCATTCCGGCATCAATGGACTGTGCGCGGTAGACAAGTTCTCTGGCCTCCACGCTCGCCGGATTTATTAAGCCTTGATTTCTGTTTGTGGGAAGCCATCAAAAGTGCCTTGTATCACGATCCTGTTGTGAATGAAATGGATCTCGTGGCAAGATTCGCCTGCGCAGCTGCTACAATCAAAGAAACTCCCGCTGTGTTTGAACATCTCCGGCAATTAA